TAATTTTCCATGATTTTCTCTCTCTCATACAATATGTAAATGATTAAATTAATCAATTTATTTATTCTTTTATTCTTTTTTTAAATATTAGATATAATAGATATTATATGTATTTATTTATAGTAGAAATAGATATATAGGGAGTTTTAGTGTTAAAGACATGATAATTTTTGCTAATATTTTTAGTACTGACACAAATACATCTATATCTTCTTTTACTTTACGTTTAGTTGAAATGACTAAAGAGAAGGAGTTTCTTGATCTCCTTTTTGCTTAATGTAGGCCAATGTAATAAATATTTTTTGTGTTCCCATTATTACATTTCAAAACAGCAAAGTCAGACACTCGAATCTTATTCATCAACTTTTACCTCGTCTGGATCTTTCAAAGTATATTGAAACTCACAGCTGTTTACAACTTATATATTTGTCATACTAGAAATATTCACTGTCGGTCTTGAGTTGATTTATAATTAAGTGTAAGTAAAGTATAATTGTACAAACGTAGTTTGTACAATGAAGTGAGAATGACACACGGAGATTCTTACACAAGAATGTCGAGGCTTCTCAACAATGACTCTCCTTACTTAATAAAGCGACCCCGTTACTGCACCGTTTACTCTACATTCATGTAACGTTATTTATGACCACCGCGTACAATGCACGCGACATTCGCTCTCGTCATACGTCGATGCAAACGTCGTTTTCTCGGTGGAAAGTTTCGCGGCGTTCCGCGATCTGTGCACGCGCGTTTTCTCGAAATCCTCGTGGCAAAAGATTGGATAAGCGCGATGCGCGCGTTGACGGCAGTTAACGATGGGAAAATCAACGAGCGGTCGCGGTATTTATCTCTAATTGAATAATATCGAACGTTGAAACGCGCCGAGTATCACAGTCTGGTGGCAATGACGATCCGGTCGTATTACGGTGCACGGCACCTCTCTCACCGTTGCTTCCCGTTCCGCGTCGTTCCAGCCCGTCTGTTTTTCCGTTCGCAATAATTCGATCGCAAAAATATTCGAATCGACGACTCGATAGATCGTCGATGGCTGCGAATATTCCTGTCTCGGAATCAATTTTTGCTGAATTATTCTCTAACTCGGCTTAACCCTCTACTATATTTTAGAGACTTGGAAGACGTTCGACGAATAGGAACGTTGATTTTTCATGAAAATTTGAGTGGGCGTTGCTTTTTGTAAGTGTAATAATTTTATTGTACGTTCAAGAGTGATACGTATATAAATATTTAATAATATGATGTATTCTCTAAAAAATCTCTGAAGTAGAATCTAACTCTGAAAAATTTCACTCTTAAAAATTGATAATTGAGCCACTCTTTTTCAACATTGACTCTTTGTCACCCTTTAGAATTGGATTCCACTTCAAATATTTTAAAGAGTACATATATATGATACATTTAATGTGTATAAACTGCATATACACGTAATAAATATTTTGCGTATGGTGAGAGTTGGAATTTAAAATCGAATCTGCTTTTGTAATTGAGTGTAATTGAGGAACGAGATTGTTCTGTGTCGGCTTGCCCCTTTACTCTCGAGCCTTTCGTTCGAAAAATTGTTGTAACGGAAAAGAACTTTGCGGCACGGCAATGGCCGTTTCACCTGCTGCGAAGGATCGCTTTTATCGAATCTCCCCGCACGCTTTCTCCGGACACGCTCGGAATAAAATGTTGATTCAACGAGTGTATATAAGGCTTCCTATACGCAAATTACGCAGACAGTGAGACCATTGTTGTCCGTGGTTTATTTGCATGTGATTTTCGATGGCCTTTTTTTCACCGAGTCAGCCGGTCACAGTTCGATTGTGGCGCGGATCTCGATCAGCGGAGCTGTGCTTTCTCTCGACGTTATAATTTGCACTTGGAAATAGAGACACGGTATTTTTCCCCTGAGATATTCGGTATAATCGTGATGATTCTCGTTCACGATTTAATATTTACGCCTTTCGTGAGAAAACAAGATCTTTTTGAAAATTTACGTATCACGGATGATTTGCCACAGCAAATCAGATCTACGAGGAAGTATGAAGGCTTCCTCTTGAAATCTTCTTTCTTCAAAATATTTATATCAAAATGTTATACTGTTAATACTTTTGAAATATTAATCACAATTTTGATATTGCAAAAATATCTTTTACTTTAAGAAACATTCTATTGTATTCTTCTTCTTTTAACTTCTTCTGTTAACTTTTAAATGAAACATTTTATGAATTATACATTTAAATAATTTTTTGTCAGTGTAATAATTTAAATAATAATTTAATATTCTATCTTTTTATATTTAACCTTAAACAATTTTTTGCTTGCGACACGTCAATGGCGTTCTTTAATAAATGTCTGGATCCGTTAATATATGATTTCAAGAATTATACGATGAGATAGCAATCGGAAACGGATCGTGTCTTGCCCGATATAACGGACTGTTGAATTCTAGGAATACACCTGATTCTGGATAGACGTTCGATTTGTCACGTCGTCGCTTTGAAGTCAATTAATTACAATCGACATGCTTCTTATTTAATCATTTGCTTCTGATTATAAAGTTCTTCCTCCGTGCACGTGGGATTCGATAAACACACACGTGTTCAGTTCCACGTCATTTCTTTATCTAACACTGAGTCTCGTGAGAAATGTTGATTCAACTCACTCGTCTATTTAAACATGATCTAGAACACTGTCTTCAATGATAGCTCATTTGTATTATTTGGTAATTGCTGGATTAGAAATATTAAATATTATGATTACCGAGATATCAAGAGAGTGTTTGTAACGATGACGTTTCTTGGCGCCTTTGATTTATAGATTGCTTTCTCTTGCAATCATATAGTTATCACTTGCATACATTTCGCAGTTGTTTGATCGGGCAATGATAGAGATATTAAGAATTCATAATACAGCTTTATTAAGACACAAATCTTACATTATCTATTACCTAATAATAATACTTGTGTACACAGAAAAAAAAGATTATTCTTAAATCAACCATAATATAAGCAAATATTGTAATCTCGCTTTAAAAATTTTGGTCTTGATTTTGAATTTGTTTGAATTTTTATTGATATAAGATTTAAAAATTGAACAAGTCTTGAATTGAGTGCAAAGTAATACTTGCATCAAAACAAGTTTAATCAAATCAAGACTAATATCTTTGAAGCAGGATTCCAATATTTTTGCTTATATAGTGACTATGTTATGGTTAATTTAAGAAGCCTTTTTTTCTGTGTAAGCTTGTAAACCATGTTACATTCTTAATTTTTTTATAAACATAATCAATTGCTTTTTTAACGCATTTACATTTTTAACAGAGTTGATATTTAATAAATATGTACTCTTCGCGATCCCATGTTGAATTGATTTCGATATTCTATCACGTAATTCTTCAAGTATTCAAATGTAGCGATTATAATCGAACTATAATTTGTCCTTCATAAATTCTTTTAAATAGTAAAAATGTTAATTTATATCAGATCTCTTAATTAGATGAGCTGCGAACAAAATACTTAATTTTTATTTATTACGAGAAATAGTTTTAGCTGCAAAGGATTCGATTTATCGCAAATTTCCAATGATTTTATTTTTCCAATTTAAAGTAGAATATTTACAACGTATGACCACCAAATTCCTAATGATTCAAATAAAGTTAGTTTCTATCTCCCAGTTTCTTGAGTGTTACTTTTACCATTCTATGCAGCTTCTTGTTTTCCGTGTCTTATCAGAAATATTGTTATTGAACCATCTTGCATATAAATACGATGACAATGACGTTAGAAAATTGTATAATGCGCTATTTGCATAATAACCGATCTAAGGTATTGCTTAACATACATGAAGTTTTTTTATCATCCAAAGAAGTTATCGTCAGCGATTATCTTATAACTATCGATCTTGATTGACGTAGCAAACCGCGACATTGGTACATGATCATTTATAAAATTAATTCATCCATTTCATGGTCTGTGAGATTAGGTCAGCTCAATTTGTAATTATAAAGAACTTTGAAGCTCTGAGTGACGACCGCAAAAATCGCCACGATGGAATCAGCTGTCACGAGCGTGAAGAAACATCAACTTGTTTCACCACAACATTCACCTACTCGTACCGGTATTTAATTTATTACTGCCTCATGCATTTGAATGCAAACATGTTGCTTAAATTTGCATCAAATATCTATTTTTTTTTGCAATAAATCACTTCCAGGTATGAGCAAAGCGTTTTTTTTAAATTGCGTTTTTTTGCAAATAGCAGGCAATGGGAGACTGACGTGCACCTACCTGTCCCTACCTGTGCCATCTTTCTCTCTCTCTCTCTCTCTCTCTCTCTCTCTCTCTCTCTCTCTCTCTCTCTCCATTTTCCTCGCTCAACCTGCACCATTCTACCTTTTCCCTCTCTCTTTGTCGCTTCTTTATTTTGCCAACCGGATCGGCTCGCTTTCGAGCTCTAAGTAACTGTACTTGCGTTTCCTGTATCTCTAAATTGGTAACGCGGTTCAAAGCGGCGCGTAGCGGCAAATCAAACTGTATCGAAAGTCAGGATATGCCTCGGAGTACATAGAGTGGAGCTATCTTTCTCCGTATATACATGCCTATATTTTTTATGTGCTCGAATGTAGCTAGGATGTCGTAATAGATATAATACGTAGGTATGCGTGCATGCAAGATCTGCCCTAAAGTGACATACTTTGTTGAATCGCGCGGCATACCTTTCATCTTCTCGTGTGAGACTGAGAAGCGACATTTCTAAACATCTGATTATGCGTCAGTGTCCATAATGAAGCGCGTGAAAGTCACCGCGTGGAGTTATCAGCATAGCATACCATTACTTTTGAGCAGTCCTCTGAAGCTCCCTATGAAATTACAGACCGTTCCACGAAGGAATCGGCAACAATAAACTCCAAGGAACGTATTCCGACAATAGTTCCAACTTCAGCAATTCTGAAAGTAATTTCTAAAAGTAAAAAGACTGATTTTTCACGCTTTCGACAGGTGAAGGCTGCGTTGAGAAGCCCGTATCGACCCTATGGCGGAATTACGTAAGCAGCAACAGACCCGACGTTTCCATGAGGTTGACAGTGACCAACGGTGGTCTGACCGCGACCACTAAAGACCATGGTCTCACCGAATATTGGGCTCACCGTGTGACTTACTGCACAGCGCCAGCCACTCATCCACGCCTCTTTGTTTGGGTATATCGACATGAAGGCCGCAGACTGAGGCCCGAATTAAGGTGTCACGCAGCCCTGTGCAGCAAGGAATCTACCGCAAGAAGACTCGCCTCGATCTTGAATACCAGGCTGCAACAGGCGCTCATGGAATTCCGCCGAGACAAGGTCTCCAGGCAAAACGCCAGGTGAGAGCAGCGGTATCATGCCACAAAAGTAAACTGAGACCTAAGCGAGTTATGGGAAGCGGTGTTACTCGTATTTCAATGGCGCTCTTATTGATTTGCTATAAAGAGTTAAAACTCGAGAAATTTAGAAACAAATGAAGAAATTAAGAATGCAAATCTTCAAATTTCATCTTATTTTCCAGTAACGATAAATAAACACAAATTCCGGAAGTCACGGAATTTGCGGGATATTAGCGGATCGTGATATTAGCGGAAATTATTAACGAGCATTATCTAACATTGGCAAACAATTAATGGGATTTAGAAAGTATTACGGGATTAGTGAGATCTTGTTAGGTATTAGAATTGCATTAGAAGAGAATTAATAAGATACACATAATATATTCGCATTACGGTGTTTATTCAATATGCTAGAAAATATTGGAATCTCTTTTTGTTTTATCGATTTTAATTACTTAATTATCTAAACGTATATCTCTTTATGATATTATAATATTTGTTTGGTTCTTAATTTTAATCTCATTAAAATTGAACCGGCTACGATTAATCGTACGCGGCACAATTTCTCAATCGTAGAATTTGTCGAGTTTCCGTTAGGCTCATTTCAATGTCGGGCAGCAACCGACATTGCATTCGCGCATTCCAATCGCGCATTCTTCGCATTTTTATCGTCCTTCATACGTTATATCGTCGTTACATGGGCCATATGCAGGTGTTTGCCTCTTCCCGTTTTAATCAGGAGAAAAGAGAAATTTCTCTCATCTTCGTTCTTTGAGAGGCACGCGAAGTTACGCGTGCTCGTGCATGCAATGTGGCAGTCACGATTCTGGTCACAATTGTAGATGGTTATGTGCGCGATCGAGTCACGATTCAGGACGGGAAGCGATCGCCACTCGGCGATGTACATTCGGGTTAGTGTTTCCAAGTCGCAGGTCAAACATTATAGGATACTTTCCATTTGGCGACACAAGTCGATATAAGTATCATTCTATCTTTATTACTTATGTCTGTATGTTAAGAAAGATAGAAATGATGCTTGTGTCACCAAATAGAAAGCACTCATATTCGAGCACTCCAATCAGAATTGTGCTAATATGTCTAATTCGCTACTTTCTTTATCCCATTATCTTTCAGGAATTCATCTTTTTGCCAGGAAAAGAATAAATAGAGAAAGTTGGACAGTTTTTATTGTTTAATCAGTTAGAATTTTAATTTATTTTTAATTAACAAAATATTTGTAATTTTATAAATAAAAATTTTACTGTTCTCTAAATATAAAAATCATCAAAAAATAACGACTTGTAAGCAAATTGTAAAATTACAGAAAAAACGATATTAAAAATCTTTTTCTTACTAATGTACTTCCATTAATAGGTATAAATTAATTTTAATCTTGATTTACTTTTTACTTTTTTCGAATTCTTAGAAATTGAAAAAGATAAAAAGTAAATTAAACGAATATTAAAGTTAATTTATAATGATAGAAATGGACATAAATGTATTAAGTCATCGCAAAAAGAGGATCAATTTTTATTATGAAATTTATAAAAATGTGATATTATTTGTATATTAGTATTTGAATTAATTAACATTACGTAATCGTTACGTAATCGTTTACGTAAATCGTTACAGATTGTCTCTAGCAAACGCATTATACGACAATCCGTCGTTGCCGCGTAGGAAACTTCTTCTGAGTACTGGTGGTCAAAACTATCGGCCGCCCTTGGAGAGATCAAAGAGCGCGCCTAAGTTATCAGCGATTGAAGAGGACACGGTAGCAGAAGAGATAGAGCAGAAGAGGCTGCTGGAGGAATTGCGTTCCTTGGAGAACGTAGCACGTAGCTGGGAAGACCAGGACGGCTGGAGGATAGCCAGACTACTGGAAGCCCTCAACCGCGAGTCCGACGAAAACGGTAGCATCTCCAGTGGATGTGAAACCGCCAGCACGGCGACCAGCGAGGAAAGAGCCACTGGCCCGGAGGAACATCTTACTCAGAGTTAGTATAATTATTCGCTTATCGCGATTGATCATATCAAACAATTTGAAACTTGAAGCAAAGTCTCGATAAACTTGTTTTAAACACATCCTTTTGAATATATAACTACATGTTTTTTTGATGACGTAAACGATAATAAACTTTAAATAACGTCATCAATAGATTTAATAATCATATATAACTGATTTTTTATCGTGTCTTTTTTTGATACTGTTTTAATTAATATTATCTTTTGTGATATTTAATTTTTTTATCTGAAATATATCTCTATCTTCGAAAAGTTTTTTTTTAGAGGAGTATATATGATATTTGCGTAACACTATGTCGAAAGGGCAGTTACTTGGCAAGTCATACAGTTACTTGGCAAGCCAGTTAATGCGTGACACACAGACATTATAATGTTATAATGTCACTTCTTGATAAGTTGTTTACCTTTAAAATGTATTTTCTAGATCAAAACGATCAGCGAGGGTCGATCAAAAGGGTTATCTTTACGGAAGACCGAGTCGGCAGGAGATCAGGACCACGAAGAAATTCGGAAGGTTCGCCACATTTCATGACATGCGTCGGCAGTCCCCGTTTCAATCCTATGGATCCTATGAAGAGGTTTCCCTTGACGAGCGAGGAAGAAGAATCGATGGAGGAAGAAGAAGAAGAAATGGAAGACACTGCTTCGAATATGTTCGATTTCGAAGATGTCGAGGATCTCGACGACGTGGTGGATTATCGACCGAGGGGAGAAGTGATGAACAGGATTGAGGATCCGCAGAAGAGGGAAAGGCGAGCGAACGAAAAGTACCCTGGTAGGATAGGTCACGATTTTTTGCAAAATGAAGAGACTTCGTTCCTAACTCTGGATTCTCTCGACGAGGAGGCCGACAGCGATGAGAGCGGTTACGTGGAAGCACCACCAAAGTCTTTACTAGGTCAAGACGACAAGAAAGAAGAGGAAGAGAGCGAACATCCGCGATTAGAGTCATTTACGAATAAAAGAGAGGACAAATTGGAGTCGACGTGTAGAACCAACGAAAGTGAGAATCAGAGGATGAAACATGAGGATTCTAAGTTAGATAAGCAAGAGGAAAGAAAAACGGAGAAGAAAGATCCCTTAATGGTGGTAAACGATAATCAAAGAATTAAGGAGAGAGAAAGGGAAAGAGTAGATTTTAAATATCCTATCTCAGATACTATTAAAAAGTTAGCTAGCGCGTCACTAAGAAATTCCAAATCTTTCGAAATGACAAGCAACAATTGCTTAAACGTATTAAATAATTTTAAAACCTCCAAATCATTTGACAGTGTGAAGAATGATGAGATTACCGTAGATTCACCAAGTCTTCACCAAAGGAAACAATTATTGGCACAACGCGGTGTCATGGTTTAAAACGTCCCTCTTTTAAGTTGAATATTTTTCCGATTTCATATTACAAATTGAACGGAAATTAAATTAATTGAATAAATATTTATCTATTATTAAGTCATCACGAATCATCAAAAACGTCTACGTCAAAATCATATTAAAAATATCTGTTTGAATAATATTAAAGCAACAATTAAGATATTATTTAAATGATTTGCTAGATTTTGGTAAGTCCCGCTTGAATCTTTAAACGCGTTAGAATACTATCATCGAGTTGAACAAATACACTCAGTGTCGAAATTCAATTTAAGCACAATATTCTAAGAGACATACATAGTTGATTTCTTGTGCCTCTCTAGTTGGTTGGTTTCTTATGCCTGAGAATCGCGACTTTGCAGAAAAATATACTAAAATAGACAATATATTAATATCAGTTAGGAAGCCATTCAGCTAAATTAAATATGATACAAAATGAACTTAATTTCACAATAATAATTTCCAGATAAAACTATAACTAGAACCAACATTATTATTTCGCGCAAAGCTATTTAGTTCCTCACGTTGCAACTATAGGGGTTGACAAGGAAAATATACTCACATATTATACATACATATGTATTATATATACATATATGTACAAGGCAGATGTAAAAATCCTGAAGCTATCTTTGATATTCGTATTTACTACATATTGCAGAGATATAGTCGGAAATTAAAAATGCCCTATTTGAAAGCCTATAAAGATTTTATCAAGCAATACCTGCAATCGATAAAATTAGAATAAAATCCACCTCGTAGAAATATAATCTTATACCCAAAAATAAATGGCTAATTTAGCAATATGACTTTTCGTATCATTGATATTAGACTTCCATATGTTCAGATATTAGACTTCCATATTCAATATTTGAATATGAAAATCGTCTATTTTGAAGATTAAAGGGACATTTATTGGATCATAAAACATCAACACTGCACCGTGTCTTGTTGATTATAATGTTAATATTGTTCGATAATCGAATTACTAGTAACAAAGTTAAGTTTGGATTTTGTGAAATAGGAGATATTGGAAGCGGTTTAATTAAGTAATTAATTAAGTGACTATACGCTTGTAAATATAATTTTTCGCGAAGTGGAAATCGACGATACATTGTTACTCGTAATATTATTATTACGAGTAAGAACGCAAATGAATAGACATTGTAGAATATGATTGTGGTTTTTATTGCGTTCTTTTATCCAGTACTATGAAACATTCCAACATTTCCAAACTATCCTGAGAACGATCGAAGATTATTCTAAGATGCGAATCCATATGTATCCATCGCTATTCAGGACATTCAATAATACGTTTATCCGATTATTATCCAGGTTTATCGCTTTAATGCAAGTTTATTTAAATGTAAACGTATCCATCATTCATCCATGCTCTATTATCAAGACCCGCGATAATTTATTAAATCAGGAATTAATGTTGCCTTTCCTTTTTTTTCTATCAATTAATTATCATGAAAAGAAATAATTTAGTGCGTAGTTAAATGTACTTCACGCGACAATAATATCTACATACATTATTTTCGGTCTATACATTGACAGAAATCAAAACATTCCTTCGCAAGCCGATCTTCAATAATAGTACATGTTAGCGATAACGATGACGCTTCAATAATAATAAATATACGTTATCGGTTAGGATTCGCATATAATATAGCTCATGTCGATTAGGCAACAAAATAAATATTTCAAATCGATCATGTCCATCAAGGATTTCGCCGCTGATGCGAAACCTGAGATGCATTTTTGTGCCAGATTGCGGCCGGAGTCTGTATCGCGACGATCGTTGTGTATGAAAGACAGAGAGATGGTACCAATAAAATAAAAGAAAACTCGAAAGATCGGAGTTTTCTAAATTTGTATCTTCCCGCTTCCTGACCCATGAACCTTGGAATTGTCTCTCGCGTATAAATTGCGTCTGAGACAGTTTATGATCAGAACGAGTCGACTAATAATTTCGGATAGCATACGTCGATGACAGAAAACGCAAATCGTGATTTTTTTTAAGGTCATCTTATAAGCAATATTAAGGTCAGACTATTGGAAACGTTCAGTCAATGATCCTGATCGATTTTTCATTAGTATTTATATCATTTTTCAGAATTAAAAATGTGTGC